CTTGTGTATACACATGGAGCCACTGACTTACTCTCAGATGTACACTTACCTTGTGTATACACATGGAGCCACTGACTTACTCTCAGATGTAAACTTTGGAGGCCTTTCTGGTAGATGATGGGTTTGCATGTATCTGGGTGCACTCTGGCCTTCTCTATGTTTATGAGACAAAGAGGTAGATCTGGCAGGCTAAATCATTGCTCTGTAGATATTTCATCTTAAGCTGGCCAGATGGTATAAATAGTGCAGAAACAGATTTCATCAATATCAAGACTGGGTCACAGAACAGGACTTCAATTCCCAGCCTTTCTTGTATCATGGCACCTAGAACAAATGACAATACAATATGACAGATACCCTCAGGGTAAATACCTACAATATGACAGATACCCTCAGGGTAAATACCTCACAATTTTTTTTAACCAATCAAGTGGTTTCAGCCATTCTTCACCTTGCCTGGACACCCAGTGACTGATGGACCAATATCTTGTACCACCTATTAGCAGGCTCTGTCGTAGAAAAAATGGCTATGGCAGAGTGATGCTGGGTGGGAGGGCCTCTGAAGTCCAAACACGTAGATTTGAGTTCGGGCACAGTCACTCTTACTCCTTGCCTCAGTCTCCTCACATGGAGTAACGGTGCTGAATCGCAGTCCCTACCTCAAGGAACCATCCTGAAGATCAGATGAGTCAACCCATGTCAAGTGCTTAGAAAAACCAGCATGGAGCAGTACCGGGTAAGTGACAATCGCTGTTACTACTGCGTTAGCTGGGGACCAATGGTGTCTCGCTCCAAATCCAAATCTCCCTCTACCCCCTCTGTCTTGCTCACCTGTTTCCTTTCCCCTTCCCCAATGTGGCTATGAATGTCTAACAGGTATCAGGAAAAGAGAACCGGTCTTGGAGCCAGAGAGTCATACCCCAGTTCCCCTTGTTCTATTCTACATTGAACTCCTCCATAAGTCACCTCACTACTCTGGCCTTTAAGATTTTCCTGGGTTGACCAGATGGCCGCAAAAGTGTTCTACTCCAATATGTCATGATTGCTGTGGTATTAAAGTATATTCTGTGAGCTACTATGCTCTCTCTCTCTCTCTCTCTCTCTCTCTCTCTCTCTCTCTCTCTCCCTCGTGTATGTGTGTGTGTTGTGTGTGTGTGTGTGTGTGTGTGTGTGTGTGTGTGTGTGTGTGTGTGTAAGGGGTAACTGAATGCCCGACACAGAAGCTCAGGACAATTAACACCAAACAAGTTAGTGCTATCTGTTTTCTGTGAATCAAAACCCTGCAACATGCCCCCACCTGCAGTAAGAACACACCTTCAATTTGCAGATCTTGCCCTCCCAATAGCAGAATTCTAAGTTGGAGCTATTTCTGCTACCTCAAGAATAAATCCATAAATATGTCTCCTAGGTAACGCCTTGTTAGCTTTGTTACTCAAAGCTCTTAAAAAATAATAAAAACCATCCTTTTGAAATAAATAGTAATTCAGGCATCTCACTTAAGACTCCCACTTAATTAGTGTGAATCACCAGAGTGTGTTGCTCACTTCTACCCATATGAAGATATTAGATGAACACTGCAAACTTATACACATCCATCAAAAATACATTTTAAAATGCTACTTTCCAGTGTCTCGGGTTATTCTTCCTAGCTCTATTTAGAGATGGTTAGAACATGCACATCTTTCTTGCTATTAAAAATTAATGCTAGCTCACATAGTCACCCAAAAATAACATCCAGAGCAACATCTCAATTTAATCCTGATCCCAGCAAGAGCCACCTTCCACTTTCACAGTTTAAGCAGAATTTTCTCTTCCTTCTCCTCTGTCCCCTGGGGGTGGGGGGGGAATTTTCTGAAGCCATCTGTCACTCCTCTGAGAGAGAAAGCTGTGTGGCTTGTGCAGAGTCCCAGGAGACTGCCCTGGCACAAGGAAGTAGCCCAGGCAGGTCTGTATTCCACGGGACCAGGCTGAACAAAGCCCCAGCCTGCAGAACACCATGGTTTTACTGGTTTTATTGACATAATGCCCTTCTCCAGTGGAGCCCCGCACAGGCTGTGTGAGAAAGACCTTCCCGGAGTATGGATACCTGTCATAGGCTCAAATGACTGCCCATCCCACCTGGCGAGGAGGGAAATGATTTTGAAGACTTGAAGAGTGCTCCCTCCTCCTTCCCGGGAATAGATGGAACAGAGCTGAGTCTAACAACCCTACGTCCTCACCAGCTTTGTGCGTGTGACCAAAGGCTACTCCAGGGCCAGGAGCAGTATTGTGCATGAACATGATCCTAGTGAAGGAGAGATAAATGTGGCCGGGACTTTTTATTGCCTGCTGCTTTTGACAAGGGACAGAGGTTAGCAGAATGAGTCCACTAACAACAAAAAACAGCTCCCAGGGTGGTCACGGAGCACTTTGAAGAAGAGTGTATTTTGTCATCTCTGGTGGCATAGTCGTTACCAAAGCAGAGAAAAATAGGCTCCTGAGTATGTCTTGAACCAACTAGGCTTCCCCAGGACTTGCAGTGGTCATGGAGAAAGCTCTATAATGCCCCCAACGACACTCAGGTCCTAATCCCTGGAGGCTGGGATGCTACCTCTAATGACAAAGGGGACTTGAGCAGACATCACTGTGTTCAGGATCTTGAATGACGTATGAGTTACTATCCTGTTGCTGTGACAAAAGCCACATAAGGAAGGAAGGATTTATTTCGGCCCACAAGTGGAAGTACAATCCATCACAGCAGGGAAGTTATATCGGCAGGAGTGTGAGGCAGCTGGTCACATGGCAAGTTCAGCCAGGAAGCAGAGATGAATGTAGATTTCTGCTCAGCCTACTTCTTTTTATTCAGTCCAGGACTCCAGCCCACAGATTGTGCCACCCACATTCAGGGTGGGCCTCCCTTCCTCAGTTACCCAACCTAGAAAAATGCTCTCACTGACATGTTTAGAGCTTTGTCTGCTAAGTGATTCTAGGTCCTGTCAAGAGAAGGAGAAAGAGTAGAGGGTAGGGTTTAGAACAGTGCCGCATACAGCCCAGACTGGTCTCAGACTCACTATATAACAGTATAAGTCAGGTTTCTCTAGAGTTACAGAACTTACAGAATGAATTTCTGTGTGTGTGTGTGGGGGGGGGGAATTTATTGGAATGACTTACAGGCGGCAGTCCAACACTGGCTAGCTGTGAATGGAGTCCAAGGATTCAGTAGTTGCTCAGTCGCACGAGGCTGCGTGTCTCAGCTGGTCTTCTGCATATGCTGGAATCCTGAAGCAGTAGGCTCCGATGCCAGGAAAGGATTAGATGTGCTGATAAGGCGGAGGGCAAGCAGGCAAAGAACTCACCATCCCTTCCTTCTTCCACTGACCTTATATGGGCTTCCAGCAGAGAGTGTGGTCCAGATTAAAGGGGTCTTCCCACCTCAAGATCTGAATTAAGGGCACATGTCATCTCGCCTCAAGATCCAGATGAAAGGCATGTTGTCTTCCTGCCTCAAGATCCGGATCACAAGTGTGCCCTGCATTCCTTTATTGCAGTTCATTCCAGATACAGTCAAGTTGACAACCAAGAACAGCCATCCCAGTACCCATGGCTGGCCTTGAACTGCTGACCCTCCTGCTCTTGCTCTCAAGAGTTCCGATGACAAGTGTGCATCATCACCCCAGCTTCACAATCAATATTACCCATCACAGATGGGTAGATTATTCCTAAACCCATCTGTGGAGGCTACACACACAATCATAACACAAGTGTCCCTAGTAGGAGGTCTAACTAGAGAAGAGCTGGCGACAAGCCGAGTTTGGAATGGTGTGCTTTGAAAACGGAGAGGCCATAAGGCAGAGAATATAGGCAGCCACGTCAAGTCAAGGACAGAGCTCCTCTGTGGCCTCCAGGAAAGTTGGTCCTAACAGCTCAGTCTGAGCCCGGTCAAACTGTTAATGCACAGATTGCTGCTCCTCCCGGTCTGTGTTCTGTTGTTGATAAAAAACACTGATCAACAGCAACTTGAGGAGGAAAGGGTTTATTTCAGCTCACAGCTCACACTCCATCATGAAGGGACATGAGGGCAGGAACTCAGGGAAGGAACCCACAGGCAGGGACTGAAGCAGAAGCCATGGAGGAGTGCTGCTTACTGGCTTGCTCCCCATGATTTCTTATGTCACCCAGGACCACCTGCCTCCAATGGGCTGGACCCTCTCACATCAATCATTAATCAAGATAATACCCCCATAGACCTACCTACACCAACCAGAAGGAGGCATTTTCTCATTAGCGGTTCCTCTTCCCAGATGATCCTACCTTGGGTCACGTTGGCCAAGAACTCACCAACACCATGGTGCAGTCATTTGTTAGGAAAACTCATACAGTGTCCAAGGACAAGAGATGCTTCAGTTGCCAGCCTCCCTTTGTGGCAGAGGCAAGCCTAGAAGACAAGAAGAGCATCCTTCTCCTCTGGACAGATACTCCCACAGACTATGCGTCACTGGCCAGCCCTGACAGCGCCTAGGGCTGGGATGGGTGAAGGAGAGAGACTTTATGGAACAATTTTGTGTTTCACAATCCAAGTATTCCAATTCAGCCCTTACTGTGACCTTGTATGGCAGATATGAGCTCTCTCTTCTCTCTCTCTCTCCCCCTCCCTCCCTCCCGTCCTGGGGCTTGAACTCAGGATGTAGGCACAGTAGGCAACTATTCCACCAACTGAGCGACATTCCCAGCTGCCAGTCATTTCTGACCAGGTGCTTTTAGTTACAAATAATGGAAAATTCCATGCAAATGGGCTCGGGATATTTTATCAAGGTATTTTATAAAAACCAAGACTCAGCTTCTGAAGGTAATTGCTGCTAAGCCAGAGTTCCATTCCCTGGACCCACATGGTAGAACGAGAGAACTCCTGAAAGTTGTCTTCTGACCTCTACGCGTGTCCCATGACCCACGGTAAACGTAAATGGAGAGGGGGCAGGTATCAGCTTTGCTTAACTAGGGTTTGAGGGGGCGCCTTCTGTCTTCTGGGGGAGGATTGTTCTCATGACCTAAGCAATGCAACCCATGTTTCCTTTTCTCTCCATTTTTTATCTCATCAGGCTCCACCCATATCAGGTCCTCTTCTAATGACCCCAAGATGCCTACTGGAGTAGACGATGCTCCCAACCCAGAACCAACAGAGAAGGGCAGGAGAAATTCAAGTGTCGATTGGTTTAAGGTAAATCATGTGTGTCCCCACCTAGTGCTGAAATCAGAATCACCTAGATTCTTCTAGATCCTTGAAGAATGTGACAGAAAATGGGAGGGAGAGTGATTCCTCACAGGAAATTGGGGATATGGGGAAGAAGAGGGGAGAATGGATATGGATTATGGACATGGGCTGGATACAGGGAGCCAACAAATGAAGGTTTGCAAAACTGGTGATGCTTTGATGATGCTTTTTGAGCTGAACTGAGCAAATTCTCTATCCTCCGTAACATTTCCTGGAGTGAACAGCCTACAAGGGCTACTTTCCTAATTGGATACGTATGATAGCTCCCACTCCTGAGCACTCCTGGGCACGGAACTCTTCGTTAAGCCTCCGGGGGTTTGAGACGCCAGCTCTTGCCTGTGTTTCTTGTCTGTAGTTCCTGGAAAGAAGCAGAGCCACGGCCTTGCCCTTGATGAATCACAGGCCGATTGTCTAGGCTGTGGATCATCACTCCTCCTTTTTCTTATCACTAC